AGCTACTCCGGAGGCTGAGGCAGGAGAATGGCGTAAACCCGGGAGGGGGAGCTTGCAGTGAGCTGAGATCCGGCCACTGCAAAAAAGAGCAGTATTGCCGCTAGCATGTCTCACTTCCAGCCCTAAGGCGGTTTTCTCCAGTCTCAGTAAATAGAAGGTATAATCAGGTTTTACACCTAGACATTGTACTCCCAGGGAGGAGTAGGAGACAGATGCCTTCCTCTTATCTCAACTGCAAAGAGGCCTTCCTCTTTTACTAATCCTCAGCACAGACCCTTTAAGGATGTCAGGCTGGGGGACGGTCAGGTCTTCCCCTTCCCAGGAGGCCATATCTCAGGCTATCACCTGGGGAGAAACCTTGGACAATACCTGGCTTTCCTAGGCAGAGGTCCCTGCGGCCTTCAGCAGTGTATTGTGTCCCTGGGTACCTTCCGCAGTGTATTGTGCCCCTGGGTACTTGAGATTAGAGAATGGAGATGACTTCTAACAAGCATACTGCCTTCAAGCACTTTTTTAACAAAGCACATCCTGCACAGCCCTAAATCCATTAAACCTTGGGTCAGCACAGCACGTGTTTCTGCAAGCACAGGGTTGGGGCTAGGGTTATAGATTAACAGCATCTCAAGGCAGAATAATTTCTCTTAGTACAGAACAAAATGGAGTCTCTTATGTCTACTTCTTTCTACACAGACACAGTAACAGTCTGATCTCTCTTTTCCCCACAGAATCCTATCTCATGGAAGTTTAATGGTAGGCAAATGCTCAGATATCCTGGGAGAAAGACTATTTCAGAAAGGAGAGAAGAAACATTCTCAGCCATAGCTTTTATAATTTGCAGAAAAGGACCCTTGCTGTTTTGGATTCTTTTTTTTTTAAATGTGAACAACATAGAAAGAAGGGAGTCAAAAGAAGCCACATGAGGCTGGGTGCGGTGGCTCACGCCTGTAATCCCAGCACTTTGGAGACCAGCCTGGCCAACGTGGTCAAACCCTGTCTCTACTAAAACTACAAAAATTAGGCGTGGTGGCGAGCACCTGTAATGCCAGCTATTCGGGAGGCTGAGGCAGGATAATCGCTTGAACCCGGGAGGCGGAGGTTGCAGTTAGCGGAGACGACACTATTGCACTCCCACCTGGGTGACAGTGAGACTCCGTCTCAAAAAAAGAAAAGAAAAACAAAAAAACCATGTGAAACCTCTTACTTAAGAGTTTCTATAACTTGGTTAAACCTGCCTAGTTAACTAATAAACATTTACAATTAAATATTAATCATTATGCTAGATAGTAACT